AGCAACGTACTGTGCCCTGCTTATGTTTTAATTAAGGCTCGATTAGACGATATCAATTGCAATGAAAAGTGAGATTAAATCTAAACTTTTGATAAAGTTTTTTTTAAGAAAAAACTTTTGACTGTTCGATATTTAAATTTAACTTTAAGTGAGTTATTTAATTTTTAATTGTGTGTAACTACAGTAGTTATGACCTGTTACTTCAGGTTGTTGGTGATTCGCTAAGATCAAAAAATAGAGATATTATATATATATATATATATATATATATATATATATATATACAGAGAGAGAGAGAGAGAGAGATAGATAGATAGATAGAGATAGAGAAGAGTGTACTTTTCCAAAATAATCTCCTGTTGCCAATGCACTTAATTCAGTGATGAATATTGATCACATAAGTTAAATATAAAACACAAAATTTCAGATCAAAATTCAGCTAGCAATTCTCAGTCCATGGACTTACTGATAAACATTATATATAAAGAAAAAGAGATGTCTATTCAAGCACATGTACCGATTAAATATAACACAGTAATAGGTAATGAGGCTGGATAAAATCAATTAGTACTTAAATAGTACACACACACACATATTTACATGCACACAGACACACACGTGTGTGCACACACACATATACACGTATACATGTGTGTGCACACACACACACACATACACGTATACATGTGTGTGCACACACACACACACACATATATATATATATACACACACACAAATATACATATACATGTGTTCACACAAACACATATACACACACACATAAATACACACATATACATATATTCACACAAACACATATGCACGCACACACACACACACAAACATATGCACACACACAAATGCCAATGTTTTTTTTTTTTACTCTTTGTTTTTAAAATTACTTACCTGCATTGTTCCTGCACCGTGACTGCGCACAGTAACAACATGAAATTGAACACATTATAATCCGTCTCGGTAAAAAAAAAAAAATAAAGTCCTCAGGTCAGATTGAAGAAACATCCAACTACGGTCAGCAGGCACAAAAAGCTTTTTCCTTTTTTGTTATTTTTTTGTGAATGGCTTGTTATTAATCAAACCCAAGGTTGATATTTTTCTGTTTCTCTCTCGTCTCATGTGTGCAACACCCACACAAACAAACCCAGCCTGCTTGACATCCAATCGGATGCATGTCATTAAAGATCATTAGTTGACTGAAATAATATCTTGATCATCTATAACTAAAACACATGCATTATACATACACACATATATATATATATATATATATATATATATATATAGATAGATAGATAGATAGATAGATATGGGGAGAGAGAGAAAAAAAAGAGTTAACAGCAGCCAGCAATGTGTTAATAGATAAGCACTTTTTAAAATATTTAATTCTATTTCTAATAATTGATAAAAGTTATAATATTATTTGTATTGGTTGTTTCTGGATGTGAAGTGTCAAATATCCAGAGTTATCCTAAATCGAGAGTCATTGATTTTCATCTCAAACTTATCAATATCTATAATGAAAAAAAAAAAAAAAAAAAACAAAACAAAAAAAAAAAAAAAAAAAAAAAAAAAAAAAAAAAAAAACGACAATATAAATTTTTTAAAATTTATATTTATAACAATAAAAAAAGAAGAAGAAAAAAAAAGCATTCTTCTGGTGATAGGTCTACAGTTAAAATAAAAATTTTTTAAACCTTAGGTAAACATTATTAATTTCTTTGTATTTAACTTTCACAACAGACTGATTAGATGACGATCACAGCAGAGAATCCTGATAAAAGCCATGCTCAAGTAATGACATGTGAGGAGGGGGGGATGTTTAATATTGCTCAGAGAAACGAAAATAAAACATGACTATAAATATAAGAATATAAGTTAGAATTAATAAATTGGGTCATTTTTTTTTCTATGTTTTATTTTATTTGTTTACTTATTTTTATTTCCTCACTGTGCTCCCCAGCTCCGAAGCCAGGGAATATGCCCTCTTCCTTCTCGTCTTCGATTGAGATATTAGAAGCTCAAGGGAAATCAATAAATAAAGAGATACCACAAGAACGTTTCCAACTGAAGGTCAGCTCTTTCTTCCTCCCTAACAACAGCGACAGTTGCTGAATGTAGTTGTCTGGAGATCTGTGATAGAACTCACGAAGAAATTCAATAGACAAGTCTGAAAAGTCTAGCACCAGAGTTTCCAGCTTCTGGTAACTGTCTACGTGACAGACTGCACAACTCTCTGTCCATTCCTTGAACTGTCAGTCTAGTCCTGTGGCATGTCTGACCATGTCGATTTTTGCCTTTGCAAATCAATGTATTCATTTGGCTTTTTAGATTAATGCAAGTTTTTATATTTTCCCAGTATGAAAACCTGTAAAAACTATCACTTCTATGTTGAGATGTAAATCACAGACTTTTTATATCAATATCTACCCACGCTTATCCATCTTTCTATATACAGGGTGCGATGGGTAAATTGTCGCCATTTTATATTTTTAATTTTGTGCATGCACATTGTTAGTTTTTGATTTTGTCAGCTGCACAGTTTAGTAGGATAAGTTGGGCACCATCTGTGAGAATAAGAGCACCATGACAAAATTCACTCTGCCAGAAATTTGGAAACAGCATGCTGTATTGCTTGGTATTCGCACCAGAAGCTTCAATATGAATACTTCAGAGTGTTTGGGTATCAATCTAAGGACAGTGCAGAGGATTCGGAAAGAGTTGGATGAGTCTAATGGTGATCACGCAGGTATGGCATCTCAGAAAACTGACTCTGATCATTCTGGTAAGAAAAGAACTCCTGAATTTGTTGGTGAGGGTCTCAGACTCAACACAGAGGCCTACATTAAATGCCTTGAGGAGGTAGTGCTGCTCTGGGTCAAGAGGGTGGCTGCTGGAAGACCCTATGTCTGGCAAAAGAACTCTGCACTGTGCCACACAAGCAAGAGAATCTAGTCAAGGCTGTCAGACAATTTCTGCAACCACATCATCCCTTATATCTGGCCACCTAACTCCCCAGACTGCAACCCTCTTGATTATTATGTGTGGAGATGCTACTGAGTGAGAGACCAACAAATGAACTGAATGCAAGTATTATGGCAGCATTCACCAACTTAAACAAGGAGACTGTCCAGAAGAGTTGCAGGAGATTCTTAAGTCATCTGCAGGCTGTGGGTGAAGCCAATGGCGATTTTATTGAATGAAATTTACTCTTTAGTATTTCAAGATATTTTTGTGTAATTTTGGTAAATATATCTGTTACAGAGTTATTTTCATTTTTGTGTAATTTAGATGATAATTTATTTCATCGCACACTGTGTATTACCTATTATTTACATATATTATAAAACAAAACTTACAGCCAGATCACATTAAAACACCAGTGATTGTCTAATCAGTGAAGTTAAGCAATGTCTAGCCTGGTCAGTACCTAGGGGAATAAATCATTAATCTTGAATGCAATCTGATTTTTTTAATGTAATTTTCAATAATAAATAAATTATTTGACTTTTTTCAGATTTTTAAAAAAATTCTTTCAAAACTTAATAACTGTCTCTTCGATTTTGTTAAACATTTTATAATAATAATGTAATATAGTTATTTCCTTAAAATTTGTTTTTACAAATCTTTCCTTATAAAACCTGACAAATAATTAAGAACAAAAATATTTACATAAAAAAAAAAGAAAAGTGGGTTGTTGATTTTTTGAGAATATGTTGGCTAGTCTATCTTTAAATATTTTATAACTTTTCTAAGAAACTGTATGTTGCAAACGAGATGAAAGTCAGGTCACAGCTCAATCGTGGCCACCAAAATCCATTGCTAAAGTGGAAATGGAAGACAGACACGAGTAGATGTCAAAACTGGAGGGGAGAGAGATGAAGATCAAACCAATAACTTTAAGAAATTCATTTCCTTTAAGCCTCACACAATTTACAAGTAAAAGATTCTAAACAACATGTAAGCTTTTTTTTAGGAATATGAAAAAGTAAATGCTATCATGTGCCTACCACACAATTCAGAAATAAAGAAAAACAATTTTCCAAACACCTTTCTGTGAAACGACTGGCTTGTCTAAGCTTACTGTCACACAGCGATTTTCCCGGATTAAGAATTGCATCATCTTCAGTGTTTCACTATTGTAAACAAATTTAAATTGAGCAAAAAATCTTTTAATAACATTAACTATTAATGATTATCTTTTCATATTTTATTTATATTTTGTAATCTAAAGCAGTTTCATGAATAGACAACAAATTGCCAAGATGACTGAATTAAATAGTGAATCAACCTCTCAAAAAAAGAGAAAAGAGAAAAAAAGAGAAAAGAGAAAAAAAGAGAAAAGAGAAAAAAAGAGAAAAAAAAAAAGAAAAAAAAAAGAGAAAAGAAAAAAAGAAAAAAGAGAAAAAGAGAGAAAAGAGAAAAAAAGAGAAAAGAGAAAAAAAGAAAAAAAAAGAGAAAAGAGAAAAAAAGAGAAAAGAAAAAAAAAAGAAAAGAGAAAAAGAAAAGAAAAAGAGAAAAAAGAAAAAGAAGGAAAAAAAAAGAAAAAGGAAAGAAAAGAAAATGACCCCAGTATCTAAAATTTGTGCTAAACCCAGAGAAGAGCAATTTCCTGATGACTTTTATGCAGAAGAAAATGTTACTTTGCAAATTCTGTATTCACAGCGTTAATTCCCAAATTAAGAAATTAGCAATTTTAAATGTCTGCATTATTTCAATTTGGGATAAGTCGTTTTATTTAAATTTTGAATTAATGTCTAATTTGTTTTTTGATATTTTGCTACAAGATCCAGTTATTATGGTTTAATTATTGTTTTGTAAAATTTTAGTCAAAATGTTTGACTTTATTCAGATATTTATTATTGAGATTTAAGTTATTTGCTGTTGATTCTTTAAATGTGATTTTTATATTATGAATCAATAATTATAAATCAATCTAAATCCTTTTACTTAAAAAACAAAAACAATTTGAATTTGTTTTGAACATGTTCTTAAAGAAGGAAGGAAGATATACACTGTAACATTCCATTGTTTTATTGTCTAGTCATGTTACAATCTTATTTTATTTTTACATATAATTTATTTTTTGACTTGGATTTTAATATTTAAAAAAAGATTTGTATGTATTTGCTATTTCTTTATATACAATAAAACTTTGAATTATATTTTTGTTTTCAGTTTTAATAATAACATATTGTATTGTAATTTTCTCATAAAATATTATAAAAATGGAAAAAATGAAATTTTCCAAAAGTAAAAACAGAAAAAAAAATGGAATTTACGAAAAGTGGAAATGGAATCAAGGAAAATTTGAAAGGGAAAATACCTAAGTACCTAGGTGGGTGACTGCTTGGATGTGCAAGTAATGTGATATAATGGATAATGGCTTGGGATGGGAAATCGGAAATTCCAGTTGCATTTGTTACATTCACCAATGTGCAAATACACTTGGGAAAGATAAGAATCCATCTCTTCCCCCAATCTATGGGTTAAATAGCAGAACAGACTGGTTCCTATAGTTTTTGTTAGCAACAAGTCTACCACAAAAAGTAATGGCAGCCTACTAAGGGAATTCTATCAAGTCAGTCATGAAGTGAAAAGAGACATGATTGCCCAAGAGTGCTACATGCATGCCTACCAAAGGAAATAAGGATATTAGAATAACATAATATATAGATATAATTGTTATTATTACAACATAGTTGCAATACAAACCACAAGTGAGCCCTGTAGGTGAGCAGGCACCCACAACAGTGACTAATTTGCTGCTTTAGCAGATGGGCGTGCTTAGAAACTAATAGCCAGACATTATATATATATATATATTATATAAAATCTCTGTTCAGATCTATCTATCTACCTATCTATCTCTGTTCAGACCTATCTATCTATCTATCTATCTATATCTGCTCAGATCTCATCTATCTATCTATATCTATCAGATCTATCTATCTATCTATATCTGCTCAGATCTATCTATCTATCTATCTATCTATATCTGCTCAGATCTATCTATCTATCTATCTATCTATATCTGCTCAGATCTATCTATCTATCTATCTATCTATATCTGCTCAGATCTATCTATCTATCTATCTATCTATATCTGCTCAGATCTATCATTCATCTATCTATATCTGCTCAGATTATCTATCTATCTATCTATCTATATCTGCTCAGATCTATCTATCTATCTATCTATCTATATCTGCTCAGATCTATCATATCTATCTATCTATCTATATCTGCTCAGATCTATCTATCTATCTATCTATCTATATCTGCTCAGATCTATCTATCTATATCTGCTCAGATCTATCTATCTATCTATCTCTATCTGCTCAGATCTATCTATCTATCTATCTCTATCTGCTCAGATCTATCTATCTATCTCTATCTGCTCAGATCTATCTATCTATCTCTATCTGCTCAGATCTATCTATCTATCTCTATCTGCTCAGATCTATCTATCTATCTCTATCTGCTCAGATCTATCTATCTATCTCATCTGCTCAGATCTATCTATCTATCTCTATCTGCTCAGATCTATCTATCTATCTCTATCTGCTCAGATCTATCTATCTATCTCTATCTGCTCAGATCATCTATCTATCTCTCATCTGCTCAGATCTATCTATCTATCTCATCTGCTCAGATCTATCTATCTATCTATTCATCTGCTCAGATCATTCTCATCTATCTATCTCATCTGCTCAGATCTATCATCTATCATCTGCTGCTCAGATCTATCTATCTATCTATCTCATCTGCTCATCTGCTCAGATCTATCTATCTGCTCAGATCTATCTATCTGTTCATCTGTTCATCTATCTATCTCTATCTGCTCAGATCTATCTATCTCTGCTCAGATCTATCTATCTATCTCTGCTCAGATCTATCTATCTATCTCTGCTCAGATCTATCTATCTATCTCTATCTATATCTGCTCAGATCTATCTATCTCTGCTCAGATCTATCTCTCAGTTCAGATATATTGATCTATCTTGACATTTGACAAACTTTTAGTTTGCCATTTTAATTGATTTTTACAGTCACAAGTTTTTCTCTGCCTCTTACTTTATCTATAAATCAATATTCTTTTTCCATGCACAATTGTTTCTGTGCTCACTTGCAGTTTTCTTATCTATCCCAGTTTATATCTACTCATATATGTCAATTTAGTCAAACCTTTCAATTCATCTCTACCCATCCCTCACAATGTGTGTCCCAATTATTTTTTATCTATTCTAATCTACATGAATTCTTTATCACAATTTCCATTGAACTAAGAAATCACAGCCTAAATTGGGAAATTTTACAATAATGATTCTAATGAAATAAATAGCATCTGCTTGTTGGTATATGTGTAAGAGAAACAATCTGAACTAACCCAACTCTAAAAGATTTGATTGGTTTAGTTTTTTTTTTTTTTATTTTACAGCATATCAACATCAATGGGTTATTTAATGCCGACAAAATTTTTATATCTGGTAATATCTTTTTTTTTTCAAAAATGTATTGCTGGTAATATCTTCTTTTTTCAAAAATGTATTGCTGGTAATATCTTCTTTTTTCAAAAATGTATTGCTGGTAACATCTTCTTTTTTCAAAAATGTATTGATGGTAATATCTTCTTTTTTCAAAAATGTATTGATGGTAATATCTTTCGTTTTCAAAAATGTATTGCTGGTAATATTTTTCTTTTTTTTTTACAAAGTATTTCTGGTATTAAAACCTATTTTCACTTTCATAGTGTTTTGACCCCAGTTTGGGGGTTAACTATTTGCCCTTAGCAGGGACCCTGACAGGTGCTACCACCGTGGGCCAGGGTGGACCTGCGAACATCAGCAATTAAGAGGTGGTTCCACACTCCTCAAAACCTCCTTATCAGAGGCCTTGCTGTTGGATGTAGTTTATCGTCTTACTCAGGATGGTAAAAGATTTGATGAAATTCAAAATTCAACTCCTTTTGGGACGATAAACTTCACCAAAAATATGTAAATACCCAAAACACATACTATATATATATATATATATATATATATATATATATATATATACACACACACATATATATATATACACACACACACACATATATATATATATATACACACACACACACACAGAGGTAGAAATCTGTTGGCATAATCCAGGCGAGTCCTATTAACACAACTTAGAATTTGAAATATGTTAAAACTGACTCACAGAAGAGCCCTCAATACATATTTTCATTAAACAGAGCAAATTTTCTTTACAATTGGAGTTAAGATACTATGTGTGTGTGTGTATATATATATATATATATATATATATATATATATATATATATATATATATATATTAGTCATCCACAAACAGACTGTTTCGCTGAATCACAGCTCATCCATGTGGCTAGACATCTGACCGCTTCAAGCCAGGGTTGAAACCCAACCAATTTGGCATCAGCTAGAGATTCTACTCCCAAGCTATCGTTGCACGGTAGGGAGAAAGGGAAATTTTAACATTTTTACTGTACGAAAGATGTCAGTGGCTAGGGGAGTTTGATATATAAGGTATGAATTCATCTCTTCTCCACCCAGTTATGGGTAACTAGCTGGACAGATTGAGTTCTATAGCTTTTGGTGACAACTGGTCTAGAAGGAAAAACCCTAAATTCAAAACCTCCAACTATGAATAAATAGTAAGGCAGTCTGGATTCTGTAGCCATGGTTGGCAACCAGAATAGGAGAAGGACAACTCTGAATTCAAATCCAGAGCCAAAGTCCCTCAGACAGTCTCATATCATGTTCAATTTCATTCTGGTAAATCCTGCAATGATGCCAGTGCCAAGATGTATTGGCCTCTGCCTTTCTCTTGGACAGCATCGGTGGCATGGAGAGGGGAGATGTGCTTCATGGGAAATTGCTGATCTCTCATAAAAACCTTGCCCAGATCTTTACCCTAGAGTGGGCATAACTCTTCGGGCATATGGTTTCTCAAGACTGACGGATGCCACATATAAGAGAAAATGAGATATATAAATTTTTATATACCAGAGCAATGTTAGGAAAATTCATCACAAAGTGGAAAATCTTTTTTGTGTAACATGCTTCTAAAACAATAAAAACATAATACAAAACAAAATAATAAGCTAAAACTTAAAGCAGAAAATTATTCTATCACTTCTAACAATTGTCACAAGGAATACATCAGAGAAACCTCTTGAAATAAAAGATTATATGAACTCAAAAAGGACTTTTACAAAAAAATACTCAGTGCATTGCTCACAGCAATGAGTTTGGCCATAATTTTGATTTAAAAATGCTACTTAAATCAAAAGAGAAAGCAATTTACTAAGATGAAAGTTTATAGAAAGTGCTTTAATCGTGAGATCAACCACTGTAAATTTGCATGCATTTCACCTTTCTTGGCAGATTATCTATTATCACAATGTGGGATATTTAATAACAAAAGTAATAAATATATAAGCAAAAAGAAACTAAATAGAAATTGGCTGTTCTATAAAGCCAAACGCATACTAAAGATTTTACTTTAAAAATTTCCATGTCCCCACCTTGTTATATGTACTTACATCACTGTAAAAATCACTTTAGTCTGATGATGTGCTAATGAACAAAACATGTCACAAAAAAATTTTCCCCCACTTTGTCATGACTTTTCCTTATATATATTATATATATATATATATATATATAAAAAAGTGAACATTGAAGTCAATACTCAAAGGCAACAGACTGTTTCATGCTAGATGCAATCATCAGATCGCATGATTGCGTCTAGCTTGAAACAGTCTGTCGCCTGTGGGTATTGACTTTAATGTTCACCTTTATATTTACATATGCTCTATCTCTGATATTGAGCACTTAAATATAAATATAGCATACCTTAAAACTATATTTCTTCATATATATATATATATATATATATATAAAAAAAATATTTCTTCATATATATATATAAAACTATATTTCATATATATATATATATATAATATATAAAACTATTTTCTTCATATATATATATATAAAACTATATTCTATATATATATATATATATAAACTATATATATATATATATATATATAAAACTATATTTCTTCATATATATATATATATATATATATATATATAAAACTATATTTTCTTCATATATATATATATAAAATAAAACTATATTTCTTCATATATATATATATATATATATATATAAATATATATATTTCTTCATATATATATATATATATAAAAAACTATATTTCTTCATATATATATATATATATATATATATATATATAAAAACTATATTTCTTCATATATATATATATATATATATATATATATATATATATATATATATATATTATTATATATATATATAATTATGAGTCAAAATGCAAAGAGGAGGAGGAAAATCCCGAATACCTTGGAAAGAAAGATAAAATTGGATAATGAGACCAAACCAAAATGATCCAAACTCAGAATAAAAACAATAATCAACACAAATCAACTACATGCAACTTTAGCAAATACAGAAAAATCACACAACAGAATTAAGAACCCGAATACATACTACCACACACAGACTCACAAGGTAAGCACCCTAACACATTCTACCATATGCAAACACATCCAAAAAGAACCCTAATACATACTACCACACACCCACACACACAATAAATACAATTATGTAAATATACTGAACAGTGAACCACGGACTACCAAAAATTCACAAATTGAATGAAATAAAAGCAGCTATCCAGATACAAAAATCTGAATACATTAGCATCCCAAACACCAGTGACCTTACATTCAGACCCATAGTAGCAGCAACTAGGAAACTCAGTAACTTAATAGACACAATATTACAACCATTTACCAAGCATATTAAAAGCTACACCAGAGATGATATTCACTTCCTTAGCTCCATATCGCAAAAAGTTGATCTGGGAACACTTATGACAACTTTTGACATTAGTAGCCTATATAGCAACATACCCCATGAATTAGGTAAAAAGGCAATCTCATTCTGGATTGAAAAACATCCAGAAACACTACATCCCAGATTCACTAAGGAATTCATTATCGATACTATAGACCTAATTCAAAACAATAACACCTCTGAATTTGACAACAAAAACTATAACCAAACCCTGGGTACAGCAATGGGAACAAAAATGGCACCAACATATGCCACCCTAACATTAGCTTACCTAGAGGAAAACTTCTATGAAAAGATAGGACAAATATATGGGGAAAATATAAAAACCCACTTCACTAAATCCTGGCAATGATTGCTTCATTTTCTGAAAATCCTCATGGGGTGATATTAACCAATTTCACACTCTACTTCAAAACTTACCCCCACACAAAAAAAAATTCACCCAAGAATATAATTTCAACGAGTTACCATTTTTAGATATACTCATTAGAAAAAAAAAACAACCACATAATCACAGATATCTACCACAAACCTACAGACACCCAACAATATCTTCATGTCAAGAGCCATTACCAAAAAAGCTGCCTGAAATCCATCTCCTATTCTCTAGCACATAGGGTTTGTACTATAGTTAGTGACAAACACCTCTGAAAAACCCGCCTAGAAGAACTACATAAAACTCTAAAAAAACAAGGCTACCCAACAACACTAATAAACAAAAGTTTTAAACTCAGGGCACACAAACTGCATTAAGAACAGCTTTTTTTTAAAGTAAGCACTGAATCCAATATACTTTCCAATCATAGCAGCAGTGCCATCTGTTGCACAAGCCACAATGTTCTTGAATGGAATGTTGTTCTCTTCAAAATAGGCCTCAAGTTTTTTGAAGATGGATTCACCTTTAGTTTCAGTTATTTGTTTCAATGTAAACAGTAGTTCATGACGAACTATGAAATCCAAAGAAATGTAACATTGAACAAACTCTAGCATATATCTCAACATGCAACAAAAACAATCCAGAACTATTCACAGAAATTACAAAAAAACCTAGACCTACTTAGTAAGAA